TGCACTCAGCCCTCTGTTAAGGTTTTCCCAGTCTCTCCTTTTACTCTCACTCTGCTTCACTTTCTCATTTGTTGGTGCTAAAACAGATGCTGGCTTACTGATCCTTACCGTCACACACCATTTGTCCAGCTCAGTATATTTTAATTCAGATGTTTATTTTCATCTCTAGAAGCTCCGGGTTAGAGCAGCTGCAGAGGCTCCCTGGAGAGCTCCACGCAGCTGATGGCATCCCTCAGGGGAGACTGGAGGCCGGTGCTAGTGGGAGCCTGTGTGCCTCCAGTCCTGTGTGTGCCTCCAGCCCTGTGTGTGCCTGGACTTCATCTAAAACCTTGGGTGTTTCTGCTTTCCTGTGGCTGACTGAAGCCCCCTTCCCCAACAGCACCTGTGAGGAAGTTCTGCCCTGCAGAAGGGGTCTTGTGCCCATAGTTATGACCTCAGTCTCCACCCGGCTGCACTGCTGGGCAGGGTGAGGCCCCTCCTGGCACCTGCAGGCCCTGCCCAGTAGCAGGTCGGCCAGTCATAAGCTCCTCTTGCTTCCTTCTGCCTGCAGTCACGTCCCCCACTGGATGGTGCCTGTCCTCACCTTCTGTCTGGCCCCTTCTTGTGGACTGTTGGAGGGCACTCAGCAATGCTTCCTGGATGGATGGTGGGTGGGGTGTGGGCTGCTCCAGGGGTCTTCATTCCCCTATCCCTGAGAGCCCAGTAGTCTTGCTGTTCCACCATAGTGCTTAGCCTGGGGGACTGGGGTCAGGGAGGACAGATCATCACTCCAGATGCTGGATCCTTAAACAGTGGATGATCCAAAGCTCATGAATGGACGTTGGTCCAGCCAGTGCTGGCCGAGCAGCCTCCATGCTCAGGGCGCTTTACCAACAGTCCTACCACCCGCGTGGGAACCCACAGTGTGCAAATGGACAGGGGGAGACACTGAGTCACCTTCAGAGGCAGCACTCACGTCAGAGCCCGGGGTGCAGCAGGTGGGAGGAGACAGACACGGGCGGCTAGCGTTTGGAGACAGGTGGGAGCAGTGAGCTGATGCCAGTTCTGAGGCCAACAGCTCAGAGGCCTGGGCAGCAGGAAAGCAAAGGGTATACTAAAGGAGGCTCAGGGTCCCCGTCTCTGAGGAGAAACTTTCTGGAAGGATTTGGATTGGTGCCTGAGGGATGCATTAAGGTTTTAGAGGTGGCTTCAGAGAGATGAAGTCCTGGGAAGAAGGACGGTAAAGCCCAGGAGTATGGAGGATGAGGGAGCAAAGGAATGTTCCAGAAAGAGTCCAGTGTTGCCGAGTTCCAAAACCCACGAAAATCAAACACGGTGCAGAAGCTGATGTATTTAATGGAAGGTGTCATTAGCCTCTCTCAGTTGCCTGCTTGGTATCAACTTCCACAAAACCAGAGTGTTTAAAAAAAAAAATCAAGCTTCTAAATTTTTGAAAAAAAATTTAAATTTGGTTTTAGCTTTATAAACTTGAAGGAGGGATCGCCCCAACATTCTCCTCACGTCTGATCCCTATTTCTTTTTGCGGCAGCATTTCCGACCCCGGAGAGAGCAGCGGCCTATCTGCTCCTCCTTGGGGAGGCAGCCCAGCACGGCGCACCGGCCACCCCGTATTCTGCAATAGTACCTCTGTACTGCGCTGATGATCCCGCTGTGACCTGCAAAGGAAAAATAGAAGGTATAGGGGGCTCTAGGAGGGGTCCTGGGACAAATTCCAGGCTTCAGGAGTTCCTCAGTCACTCACTCGCTGCCTTCCAGGGTTCTATTTCCTTCCCTGCTTGGCTATAAAATTAAGAGTGAAGGGAAGGCGGAGCCCAGCAGGCAGTAGTCAATGTCCCCTGGGGGGAAACTGCAGATCTCTGTGGGTGCAGTGTCCTGGGCCCACCCCCTCTGACCACTAAGCTTAGTGAACCAGAAGCCTCTGCTTCTGCTCACAGAACCAGCCCAGGTTTCCTCCGAGGCTGAAATTGAGTAGCACTTTCCCACATCTCCTTACCAGTCCTCCCACCAGGAGGCGGGTGAAGAGGTGCTATTAGCAGAGGGAGCAGGAGCAGGAGCCTGCTGTGAGGCTGGCCCTGACTGGTCAGCTGCCAAAGACAATTCCCCTGGTCCCACCCAGGGAATGTTGGAGAATGGAGAGGCCTGGATGCGCTGACACTGCTCCTCTCAGCCCCTCTTTCCCACCTGACTTACCTGGAACGGGCATCAGGAACAAGAGGAGCAACACGCCCAGCAGGTACAGGATCCGCATGGCTGACCGGCTTCGCAGCAGGCTGAGGCTGGACTGAAAGGTGCACGGGTTCACGTTTATAAAGAGGTGAGCCATGGCTGCAATTCTTGTAATGTCACAGTGATGACAAGATGACGTACTTCCCGATGTGTCATCTCTCTCTCTGCACAGGTCACACCCACTCACCCAGGAGCTGGTACCAGCCTGATAAGCTTGCTATGGACATGGGGACAGCTGCTGTCCTCCAGGCTCAGGGGCCTGGTCATGACTGGCTGGAGCCGGCTGTGGGTACAGGCGGGGCTGGTGTGGGCAGGACCTGTCTTCTCCTGGGAGTGGTGCCAGGGTTCCTGGTTTGGGGTCGACCTATCTGCACTGTGGTACTTTTTAATTTCCTGCATCTTCTTAAAAGACAGAGAGTCTGAGGCCCTCCTGGGAACCAGATCAATCCAGCTCTGGACGTTCTCAGATCTGGGGGGTAGGACTGGCCTCAGGTGGTGAGGAAAGAAGAAATATTCTTTTATTTGTTCTTTCTAGATGATAGGATATATTTTGACATATCATACATACATAGAATATAACTTCCTATTTTTGTGGCTGTCCGTGATATGGAGTTTCACTGGTAGTGTGTTCATATATGAACATAGGAAAGTTATATCCGATTCATTCTGTCTTTTCTATTCCCACCCCTCTCCCTTCCCTTCATTCCTCTTTGTCTAATCCAGTGAACTTCTATCCCCCCATACCACTTATTGTGAGTTAGCATCCACATATCAGAGAGAACATTTGGCCTTTGTTTTTTGGGGGATTGGTTTATTTCACTTAGGGTGATAGTTTCCAATTCTATTGATTTACCTGCAAATGCCACAATTTCATTCTTCTATATGGCTGAGTAATGATCCATTTGGGTATATATACCATATTTTCTTTTTCCATTTATCATAGTTTAGCTATTGTGAATTGAACTGCTATAAACATTGATGTGGCTCTATTACTATAGTATGCTGATTTTAAGTCCTTGGGTATATGCCAACGAGTGGGATAAGTGGGCAAAGGGTGGTTCACAAATGAACTGTGCTGAAGAGCCCCTGCCTTCACCCCTTATGGTGCTACAGAGAGTAAAACACATCTCGTACTTCATCATGGTTGTGAAACTACCCAAATTTATAAGGAAGGTGTTTTATCTCACTTCCTTGGAAGGACAATGCTGTGATAATGTTGAATAGCTGCCTCTCTTTCCTGGGGAGGAGAGTCCCTGTGCTATTCTTGGCTCAGGAGCTTTCAAAAACGTCCAGGGATCAGATGATTTTCACTGGGTATGAAGTCAGAGTTTGAGGGGAAAATTTCTTCTTCTTTTTTTAGCTATTAGACCTAAATGTTGAGGAGTCTAAGCAGTGGGTTGTGTCTGCCAATTGCCTATTTAGTTGGGAGCTGAAGCCATCCTGTTGCCTGGCTGCCATCCCAGTGGACCCACCGCGGCTCTGGGTGTGAGGTCCAGGAGTGTGTTAGGATACTGGTGCACCCAGCAGATTCAGTGAGCAACCCCGAGCATCTCTTACAGGTGAAGACCAGCACGCGTGTTCAGTGTGGGTGAGAGACCCACAGGCTGAGACTCAGGGGCAAGTCCTGGTTTCTCCTCTCCAGGGGCTCCAGGTAGCTTCTGCAGACGGGCAGACAGTCAGATAACAAAGGGTGGGGCAGAGGGTCATGGCGAGGGTTTAGGCACAGGGCTGCACAGATGGAGGGAAAAGGAGGCTCGTGCTGAAGAGTGGATTTTAATCAGCAGATGTAAGAGGACTTTGGGGGTGTAGACACTTTATCATTTAAAAACCTAACTTTGCTCTTACGTTCAGGGTTGGAGCAAACAATTGGAGATGCTTTGAAATGGAAGGAGCAGGTGACTGTGGGGTGGGATGGGTGCTGATTTTGTAGTCTTACTATGTTTTACACAGGGTGCGGCTGGGTGTGGCACAAGATCTAACCAGCTCCTGGCTCAGAGTGCAGGGCCAGAGTCATCAGACCGTCACATCACTGCAGGGACCAGACCTCCACAGGCCAACCCGTGGTTGAACAAGTTTCTTTGAAGACTGGGCGGGGAGAAGGCGCTTCTAGGGCGACACCACTGCTTCATAAAAGCTTCTTAGGAAATAAAAATGGCCTTTCTTTTCCCTTTGGCTCCTCCGGCAGCTGCTGGAGACCCTTGGGCCTGTTTACCCTGCTCTGTGCTCTGCCGTGGTTCCAGGTCTCCTGATGGCACCTCAGCGAGGACTGCAGCTTTAGAGGGGACTTGCCTTTAAACCCAAGTCCAGAGCCAGTTCACAACAGGAGGAAGCGGGCCAGGAAAGCACAGGCTTTACTTCCCACCAGGTAACCGAGTCGTCTGCTCCCACCAACCCTGTGAGTGTGGACTAATATTTTATGTATCTTATGTGTTCTCTGCCCAGCAAACTTTCTTGGCATTTCTTCATCTTGCAGGCAGAAATGCAGGTAGAGGTTCCTTTGGTTTCCTGCAAATACCACTGGATTTGGAACACTCTATTGGATGTTGTGTATTGTGCTCCAACCACTGAGAGAGACGGGGAGAGAGATGGGGGGGGCAGATAGAAAGGCGAGGGTATGCAAAGAAGGGACAAGACCAGAGTACAGGGCTGGCTCACGTGAGTCACAGGACCCAGGATGTGGTGGATCTGGTGGGGCAGGCGGAGAAGCCAGTGTTCTCTCCAGGAGGATCAGCAGAGGTGGGGAGCACAGAACCAGTCTGAGGAGCAGGGAAAAGCCGAGCTTGGCCCAAGTCTAGTGGGGAGGGGGGCAGACAAGTTAGCATTTGCATCAGCAGATAAGGGAGCATGAATTAAGAAAAAACTAGACTAAGGTTTTAATCATCTAAAATTTTGACTCCATCAAAAATTCCTTACATGAAGACCAAGAAGAAAGCCTGAGAGAGTTGTGCTTGCAATTAAGCTGATGAGCCTGATAGTCACTTCTTCAAAAATCTTTGGTCTTAAAGGTATTTACACTGCCTGCCTGCGAATCATGTCAGTAACTCTGGGGGTGTGGAATAGGCCTCGGTGCCCAGGGATGTTGACGGTCCCAGCCATTCTGTTCTCCTGCGGTTCCCAGGGAACCTGGCATAGTCACAAGGGAAGAGGCTCAGCCCAGGTGTCGTCAAGATCCGCGGACTCAAGGACCGTTGGGGAGAACCACAGGGCTATCTTCTCAGGGTCTCCCACTGAGAGTCCCTGAGGATTGGGACTGGTCAAACAGCACAGCCATCCCTACCCTACACCACGATTTTTCATCTTCTTTCCTTAAGAGGGAAGACCTAACATAGAGAGATGATGCTCAAGGTCCCTGGACCCACCATTTCTTACTTTGTGTCACCTCCTTGTTCTGCACTGCACTGCTCTGATCCTGTCTGACTCGCTGCCTCCCCAGTGGTGACAGGCTCCCCCAGGACCCCATGCAGGGGTCTGGCAGACACAGAGAGGCTGCTGAGCTTTGGGCAGGGAGGACACATGGGCAAAGGGATTCCACGTCTGTTTTCTGCACCACCTCTCCGCAGAGAGCTCTCCCTGTGCCTCATCAGATCACTGCTCCAAATCCCCCCAAAGTGCTCTCCTTGACCCTCCTCCAAGGGAACACCATGCTCACCTGATACTACCTGGGAGAAAAGTACAAGAACAAGGAAAATGGAGAGAAAGTTCCCGGTGGACTGGCACCTCTGAGGGCTCCTGGAGAGCAGAGTCAGGACACGTGTCTCCAGGGGGACCCCCGGGAGTGCCTGCTGCACCTGGAGCTGGCGGAGGAGGAGAGACCACTGCAGGCGCCTGTTCACCTGGCTGTGACACAGAGTCCTCATGCTACAGTCAGGCTGGGCTCTTAGAACGTGACTGTCCCTGTGGACACACTCGGGTTGACTCCGGCAGGGCACAGGACGAGAAGGCTTTCTGAGTGGCTGAAGACAGAGGCCGGCTCAGCAGGCCCCAGGGATGCTGCGCAAACTGACAGCAGAAGAGGGAGTGTGCACTAGAGCTGGCTGCTGCACACAGGGTCCCAGCAGGGAAGGGACGTGGCCCTACCAGGCCACAGGGGCACCCACCTCTGGGAGAGGACATGGCCCATCCCCAGTCTCATGGCTCAGTGGTTTGATGGCCTCCCTGCTCTCTCTCCCACCAGGCAATTTAACTTTAAAGGAACAGAGGGGAGCAGGGGCCGGCTCTCCCAATCATGCCTCCGTGTTCCGGAATCTTCCTCATAAGCTTACACGTCCACCTATTGTTGCTCCTGCGTTGCTTGAGGTGGAGTAGGTCTCCTTCCCAGAGTCAGCTCGCACCTGTGGAACCCACTTTTGCAGTGGGCCCCACAACCCATGTCCCTCTTGTCTCTTCCCCAGGGGCTCCTTCACGTGGCCCATGACGGTTCAGCTGTTTGTTTAAAACTAACCTGTCCTTGACCCATTTCTTCTCCTAAAACCACTGCCTCATTCTTTCCTTTGATTCACCATCAAGTTCCTTGATAGTGGTCTCTACTCTGTGCGGTGGTCTCTTCTGATCACCTGTTTTCCAAACCTGCCCCTTAATGTGTTGCTTCCTGGCATCTGTCTCAATGAACCCATTCAAAGCTCTCCTCCAAATTCAACAGTGACATTGCACCTCCAATCCAGGGGATCATCTGACTCTGCCTTTTTGCAGCATGTGACTTGTGAGGACACTCATTCTCAAAACCTGTTCCTCTTCAGCTCATCATCTAGGAAACACTGTGGACACTGGCTGTCAGGCGTGTGGACCTGGCACTGACACAGGTAGACAGCTTGTTGTTTCTGGGCTCTGTGCTCCTCACTATTTCCAAGTCTTAAGTTTAAGGAAGATCCGGTAGACACTGACATGGTAGCAAAATAAAGACTTATGCTTTCCATGTTCTCCTGGACTTCTGATGCCTGTCTTTGATTCTTCATGGACTTTTTCATTCTTCTCCTATCTCCAAAGTCCCCCAAATGGGACAGCTTCAAGAATTTGACATTATTGACCAGGTGCAGTGGCACACATCTGTAATCCCAGTGGCTTCAGAGGCTGAGGCAGGAAAAGCACAAGTTCAAAGTTAGCTTCTGCAACTTAGTGAGACCCTGTCTCAAAATAAGAAATAAAAACAAGGGCTGGGGATGTGGCTCAGTGATTAAGTGCCCTGGGTTCGATCCCTAGTGAGAGAGAGAGAGAGAGAGAGAGAGAGAGAGAGAGAGATTGACATTACTATGATAATAAGAAGGTGGACCTTGTCCCCTTCCTTCTCCTCACTGTCATCACAGCTAATATTTGTTCAGCAAATTCTGTGTGCCAGGCATGATGCTGAACACTTTATGTGCATTTATTTCATGTGAGTCATGTGAAAGTTGATATTATTATCTGCATTTCACAGATAAGGAAATGGCAGCTTAGAGAAGGAGGTAATGCACTCCATGCTTTAGCATAATTTCTCTTGAAGAATTTAGAGACCTAATTCCTGGTCCTCTTCTCGCCCCACACAGAGCCTGGGAGGTGGATTATATAGACCTCTGATGACTTCCATCTTCATCTCTAATCAGGACCACTCCAGATTTTCCTGGCTGATCTTTCATCCTCTCCAAGATCACTACCTTAATAACATCCAGTGCCTCACCATCACCTCAGCTTAGAGTAAGATTGTGCCTGTCTCATAAATGTCACCCTCACTCCCCATGTTGCTGGGTGATGGAGGCTGGGAATTGGATTCTTTTAGATTTTCCTCTTTTCCTAACTGCTGACATGCAGTCTCCATCCTGTCTGTTGTTTCTGCATAATGGTCTGTGCAGGTTACAGAGCCCAGGCCAAGTGTCAAACTCCACTGAGGACGGTCACCCGCCAACCTGCCCTACCCAGGAGTCATGCAGAGCATGCTTTGCCTCACAGCTGGAGCCTTTGCCAAACTCCTTCATGAACGTGGTCTGGACCTGTGGACACCTCTCACTGCCTCTCTAGAAGGTGTAGGGGTACTTTCATTTGTTTCCTTATGTTAACGAGAAAGTAAATGTTTCCAAACTTGGATACTTGGGACAAGTATTGTCAAGAAGAAAGCATTCTAGAAGAGTAAGGAATGGAGAGGGAACCTCAGCAGGCAATGCAGGTTCAACCAAGGGTCAACAACAGAGCGACCTGAGCAGATTTATGTTTTGGAAAGAAGCTCACAGCAAACACAAGAGGGAGGAAGGTTAGAGGGTTCTGAGACCACGACTAAGGAGCCCAAGGGCTGAACAGAAGGCTGCCACATTTCTAAGGGGATGAACAGAGGGGCACGAGAGCCAGGCCTCTACAGGATGGGATGGCACGTTGACGTGGTGGTCAGGGCGTCAAGGGGGAGGGTTCTGTTCTGGGGACAGCGTGGACAGTGGTACCCTTTATCATGGAGGCGTGATCTGGAGAGAGAGCCTGGCTGCAGTCACCCTACCTTCTAACAGGCTCCAACTCGTTCAGGAATCTGAAGCCTTAGCCTGATGTGGTGCCCCAGGCCTTTCCCACAGTCTTCAGAATCTCACCTGGCCAGCGGGGGCTGACTCGCCAGATCCTGAGGGTGAAGTCAGGAGGGAGATATAATCCATATAAGGCCACTCCAAGGACATTCTCCTGCTGTCCAGGCAGCAATCGCATCATTCCAAATGGAAAGGAGTGGCCACATGTGTCTGTTTATTCATTGACTGCATTTCACTCCTGGCCCCAGTGAAGACCCACCACCCAGCACCTGTGGCCACTAGACA